CCCTCGAACTGTCGAAGACAAGTCAGCAGTGAGTGCGCGCGCTCGTTCGTGAGCTGCGCGGACATGGCGACCGAGTCTATCTCCATGCCGAGAAAAGAGATCCTCTGCACTGGGCAAAGTTTGCTCTTCTCCCGGTTGACCCGAAGGCCCAGACGGGCTAGGTGCTGGAGCACCAGGTCTCTGTGTTCGCAAACCTGTTCTCGAGAGTGTGCCAGTATCAGCCAATCGTCGAGATAGTTCAGGATGCGAACCCCGTGTTCGCGAAGGGGAACAAGGGCTGCCTCGACGATCTTCGTGAAGACGCAAGGGGACAGAGCTAACCCGAATGGGAGAACCGTGTACTGATATGCCTGGCCTTCGAAAGCAAACCGGAGAAACGGTCTGTGTCGCGGCAAAATGGAGACATGAAAGTACGCGTCCTTCAGGTCGATCGCTGCAAACCAATCCTGAGGCCGAATGCATTCGAAAATGCGTTTGGCTGTGAGCATTTTGAACGGTAGTCGATGGAGAGTACGTTTCAAAATGCGCAGATCCAGGATCGGTCGTAACCCACCGGTCTTCTTGGGGACAATGAAGTAGGGGCTGTAAAACCCAGACCTCACCTCGGCTGGAGGGACCGTCTCGATTGCACCCTTCGCCAGCAGGGTGGCAATCTCCGCTCTCATGACGGGGGAATTGCCACCGACCATAGTGGAGCGAACTCCCCTGAGACGGGGAGGAGACCGTGCGAACTGAATCGCGTAGCCGAATCTGATCGTTCTGATGACCCAGCGGGACAGCCCGGGGAGCTCTAGCCAAGCTCCCAGGAAATGAACCAGCGGGGTCTTGCGAACTACAGACGTCCCCCCGAAGGGGCAGCGGGGCGGGGAGACCGGCATGCGCTCGGAAGTTACCCCGTGCGGATGAACAGTCGAGCCCCGTTCCCCGACAGAAGAGACCAGGGAAGGACGTGCGTTCCACGGGGGTCTGTTCTGCCGGGGGTCTGGCGACAGAGGGGGAGGGGAGTGGCGTAGTCGAGGGACGGCACACGCTCCCTTCCGCACCCTCAGAGACAGAGAGGAATGAGAGGGTCGACGCGCTGGGGCGACGAGCGCACTCATTCCAGTCTGTGGGCTCAGTGATGATGTCAAGTCTTTCTTTAACCAACTCAGGGTGCTGCCCACCCGTGGGTGAGCAGCGGGGAGCTGAGAACAAAAGATTCTCCCCCGGCCCTCCACCGGGGGAAGGAGGGGGCCTGCTACCACCTCCTGTGAAACACTCGACGTCATCACTGAGCAGTCCGTCTCAGGGACGCCGCTTCGCCTGGCGTTTAGCGGGACGCGCGGCCTGAGGGGGCTGCGACGCCTGTCTGCGGCCTCCTCCACGCCGCGTCCCGGATGAAGGCTGCTGCTGGGGACACGGGGGAGGGAGGGGAGCCGCAGGGGGTGCGTCCTCGGCGGCGACCAGAGGGAGGTGTCTGTGCCGACGGCTGGTGAGAGGCAGCAGCTGACTGTCGGGGCAGGATGTGTTTAATGGCCTCCGTCTGCTTCTGGGCGGTCGAAAACTGCTGGGCGAAGTCTTCGACCGCACCGCTGAACAGGCCAGCCTGGGAGAGGGGGGCGTCGAGCAGATGTGTCCGCTCGGCGTCCTTTGTGTCTGCCAGGTTGAGCCATAGGTGTTGCTCCTGGACCACGCTAGTGGCCATCACCTGCCCAACGGAGCGAGCGGCCACTTTCGTCGCCCGGAGAGCGAGGTCAGTGGCAGCTCGCAGCTCGTCAAAAGCCGTTAGGTCAGTCCCGCCCTCGTGCATGTCTCTGAGCAGTTTGGCTTGAAAAACTTGCAAAGTGCTCATGGCATGCAAAGCGGCGGCCGCCTGTCCCGCCGCTCTATAGGAACGCGCCGCCATAGACGACGAGAACCTACAGGCCTTGGATGGGTGCTTAGGAGTCCCACGGGAGGAGGCGCTCTGTGGACACAGTTGCATCGCAACAGAGCGCTCCACCGGGGGAATCCCAGTGTACCCACGGGCAGCCGCACCGTCGAGGGGAGGAAAGGCGGGGGAAGCTGGAGCGCGCTCTCGTGAGGTCAAAGGAGCCCTCCAAGTGCGCGTCAGCTCCACATGCAACTCGGGGAAGAAGGGAATTGGGGTCGGCTGTGGCCTTGCGGCGGCAGCTTTACCCAAAAACCAACTGTCCATCCGTGAGAGATCGGGGCAGGGCGGAGGGTTCCACTCTAACCCGATACTCACGGCGGCCCGAGACAGCATGGGCGTCATCTCGGGATCAGACACGGGCAACACTGGCGCTCCCGAGGGAGGCAACGCAGCCGCATCCTCACTTCCCGAAGATTCAAGCCCGCCCTGTGATGCCGCGATCGACATCGTGTCATCCTCTGGAGCGCCGAACGAAACAGACGGTACCTGCGAAGAGGCAGACGCCTGAATCGAAGCAGCGCTCGCTGGCTCTGACACTGGGGCGGGAGGTGTGGCCCGAGGATCTCTCGTCGGGTTTTTGTTCCACACCGTCACCGTCAGATCACCCTGTCCGCGAGTCGAAGAGCTTCTTGAAGAAGAAGCTGAACGAGTAACGGACGCGGGGACTCTCACTTTTGTCAGATCATTGAGTCTTGACCGCAGTGTAGAGATGCTCATATTCCCACAGAAGGAACATGAATCATCCACGAACGCTGCTGCTGCATGCTGAATGCCCAGGCATACAGAGCAGCGATCGTGACCATCAGAGGACGACATGAATCGACCGCATCCAGAAGAGCACGGGCAAACCATCTTTAAAAAGACGTGCCACGTGCAGCTCTTTCAGAAGAGAGGAGGAAATTCACTCTTTCAGCGCTGAGGCGTCCAGTGAGAAGCGCAAAGTCTGGCAGACCACTGTTCAGATCGCAGGCAATGCAGAATCTCGCTGGGTACCGCCGTCACACCAACACTGAAGAGGAAGCTCGTCTCGAAGAGTCTTGTCAGTGAGAATGGCTTTAGGAGTGAAGAAATCTCTTGGCTCCGAAGCGGAAACATACTGCGGTTGCGTTCACTTCCTCCTTTTATACTCACGGAGTAGGGCGGAGTACGCTATGCAAATTTCCGCAGCCCCAAGGCATTGCATGCCATTGGCTCGTGATTAAATACTCGAAGAGGATTGGCTTTCTATGCGAAACCCCCAATCTCCGTTACTTCTGACGTAACTCGAAGTGACTACGAAAGGGAACAGACACACACAGTACTGGATATAAAATATACAAATAATCTGAGGTTAGTTTTGTATGACTGTTCAGTAGTTACTTCTTAGTTATTTTTCTTGAACCTTAATTAGTAGATAATTAGTAGTAGTTCTTCAGGCGGTATGACAGTATCATTAGTTATTGATTAACTAACTGATACTTAACACAATCATAAAATTGTATTACATACTGATTAGTTAACACATCTTCCTTAGTAGTTAACAGTAGTGAAGATGTAGTTAATGAAGAATTACCTATTAGTTCGTCAATAAATCCTTATTAATTCTGCAGTAAGTAAGATACAGTATTCTAAAGTGTTACCAGTAGTGGCTATAGCAAGCGCTGGCATTTGAAAAAAAAATAAAACACAAGGCTACGTCTGGAATTATACTTGCAAATACATTTAAAATGATGAAGTCTTAGCCTACTTACAGGTTGTGGCCCAACAACTGCTGCCTCTGGTTTTAAAGTCGGATCTGCTTCATGTTTTAGTCACAGTTTCTTGTTAAATCTGGTGTTGAACTCGTGGAGATTCTGGAAGCTTTCTTCCGTAAATGAGCAGCATAGAGAGCTAGATTACGATCATCATTTTCAGGAACATAATCAAACATAAATTGTATCCATTGTTGAGGAAGTACAGCGTCTGTGGGAAGTTCGAAGACATAGGACCTGACAGCTGCGTTAACAACTCACTCGATGAGTCGACGTGCCTCAGAAATATGCGCATGCCATTTTCTGCATATTCTGAGGGAGGGGTTGATGCAAATGTGTGGGTTAGTGACGTACCATAACCCAGCTGTAGTCCTGTAATCGAGTCGTTTTTGTAGGCAATATACTTCCTGATTTTTAAAAGACGATATCTCTGCTTACACTGAACTTTCAGCGCTGCAACTTTGCAGATACTGTTCATGCACCAACAGCAACATTACACACTATTTAAAATCAAAAAAGTGAAATCGCAGTCAACCTCCCCTTTAACTTCCATATCCACCTCTGTTAGTTTAGCATTTTGTCGCGCGCCATTGCTCTCTTCTTCCTCAGCCAATGCGCCCTCAGTCGTTGTTTTCTCACTCTTCTCCACTTTCCCAGAGTGCTTTCCCTTGCCTTTCTTATATTTTTCCCCTTTCATCATTGCTTATTCAAAAATAAATCTTAATTATATTCAAATTGGGGAATAAACTCCGACCGAGCGGGAGTGCGGGATTATGCAGTCATACGCTTCGGATTACCACCAGAAGTCAAATGCCACTAACAAAATTTTTTACCTACTTACATAAGCAAATACAGACATACAATTTAAAGGGCACCTAGTTTCGAAGCAATTACATTGTTCAGTCAGAGTTGACATTAAAAGGCCTTTAAAAGTATTAATAGGTGGAAGTGATTATACATTTATGGTATTTTGGAGTTCATTCCTGACTTTTGGTGCATATGATGAGAAAGCTTTTAAGTTCAGTTCTTGTTGATGGAATAATTAATATTATTATCTTTGGACAACCTTGTCCTCTATACATTATTTTGGTAGCTAAGCAGATTTGAAATATAGAAGGGTAATTTACCCATACAGTAAGTGCTTTAGCAATAAAAATCATTAAATGTATTTTTCTTCTGAGGTAGAGGGAGGTCCATTGTACAGTTTCATACAGAGTGCAGTGGTGAGTCCTAGCCGCTGCACCTGTAATGAAACGTAAGGCTGAATGGTATAGTATCTATTTTTTAAAATAAAGTTGAAGTAGAGTGCATATAAATTAGGTCACCATAATGTCACCTCTATTTCTCTGTCTTCACAGGGCTGCGACTGTTGTTTCCATCTCAGCCGGAGAGACAAAAACTTTTAAGTTTAAGCCTATTAAGGGACGATATGTGAACATATTTTTACGTGGGACAAAACATCTCACACTGTGTGAAGTCGAGGTGTTTGGAGGTAAAGCACTCTGTGACTCTGAGAAGACAGATAGAATTTGTTAATGTTCTAATTAATGTGTGTATAACTGTTATTATTTTATTAACAGACACATCAACGTACAATTGTGTTCCAAGTGAGTGTTCTTCATTACTTTGAATGTTTTTAGTAACATAATATAACATAATATTCTTACTGAATATATTCTTAAATATCAGATTCTTACTAAATATTTGATAACCAATAAGAGATAATGTACATCAACGCGGTTGTTATCGCAAAGTATTATTACATGGCTACAAGCCACAAATAAATAATTTTGGACAAAAATATATTAATTTGAGTTGAAATATTATATTTGCTTACTTAAAAAACGCAAAGCTTCTGTGAAGAAAGAATATTAGCAAGACAAAGAACAGGTTCAAACTAGACAAACATTTAGTCTAACCTGTTAACATGGGTATGTAAAAAAAAAAAAAAAAAAAAACGCACCGCATATGCACTGCAAATGGAGTATGTGTGAAACGGGCCTGAGTTTTAAATTCAGGTTGAGCTCAGTTCGATTTTCTTTCAGGATCATATAAGTGAACCTCCTGAAAGATACCACGTGTTTAATCAGGTCTGACGCATTGCTGCCACATACATATTATTTTTCCCCCTGAATTATGTCGTAATAACAAGATCTTATGTCGTTAAAACGACACATTTTCTCGTTTTAATGACATATCTCGTTTTAACAACATACTATCTTGTTTTAACGACATAATATCTCGTTTTAACGACATAAATATCTCGTTTTAACGACTTAAATATCTCGTTATTTCGACATAAATATCTCGTTATTTCGACATGCATATCTAAAAAAAATGTAACCTGACATACACACTTTAACGCGGCTTTCTGTACTAAGACAGTAATATTTAAAGACCAAACTCTGTAAACATCGTATTAATAAGCTATGTGCAAAAAATAAATGAGCCCAGAACATGAATGCAACGTGTTTAATTACACTTTAAGCATTTTCCTCCCATAGTAAACCGCTATTAAAAGGCTTATCGTGGCTTGCACATATAGCTTATTAATATGATGTTTACTGAGTTTGGTCTTTTACTGTCTTAGTACAGTAAGCCACCCCAGATAGCAAACTGACATTGAATCAACGTGGAAATATGACATCGAAACAACGTTGATCTGACATTGTTTTGCACATCAAATTAAAGTTGAACCAACGTCAAATGCGTCATTCTTTCAAAACTAACGGAAAATCAACTTGAAATCAACGCGTTGTTTCAACGTTATGAAAGCAAACCAATTTTCGATTTTCATTTAGCTTTGAAGAATGCCGCGTCTGACGTTGGTTCAACGTTAATTCGATGAGCAAATCAACGTTGTTTCAATGTCATGAGAGACGTCGTTTCCACGTTGATTCAATGTCAGTTTGCTGTCTGGGACGTTAAGCCTTTTTAACGTTAAGCGTTTTAGAATGTCCCAACATAACTACAATGCGTTCTTTAATTCCCGGTCTTGAAATGAATACAAACCTTAACATAACGGACAGTGTTCAGACCAAACACAGTAAATAATCATACTAATAAAGTATATGTACAACAAAATCTGCTGAGCTCAGAATATAAACTCAACGCGTTTAATTACACGTTAAGCAAATTGCCGAATACACTCAAATGATATCGACTCAGACGTCAATAAATGGACGCGCAAATTATAATCACTAATTCAAAATAAAACAAATGTATTTTACACACAAACATGTCTCTATTTGTAAAAATCGCTGCACATTCGTTGAATTCTGAATTTTGCACACATAACTGAAAGCAATTTGTTTGTGGATATAGTAGCCTAATAAAAACATACATTTATCAAGTTCACGGACAATTGTGCGTGCATTATTAATCAATATACTAAAATCATAATAAAGTATACTACAAAAATCAGATAGCTAGTCCAGAATATGAACGCAAAGCGTTTAATTTGACGTTAAGCATTTTCCTCCCATAGAAACTCATTGTAAGAACGCTAAATGTAGCTTAATGCATATTATGTCCCCTTATTATGTCGAAATAACGAGATATTTATGACGTTAAAACGAGATGTTATGTCATTAAAACGAGAAAATATGTCGTTTTAAAGGGGTCATATAATGGTACATGCACTTTTACAAGTTGATTGTACTGCAATGTGTGTTGTCAGTACCTGTACACAACCATCATTTAATGATAAAAATCCATCCAGTGGTTTTGTTTTAATCTCCTTATTTGTTTTCCCCTGTCTCAAATTGAGCTGTTCGACCGTGACGCCACATGGTCGCACAGCCCTCCCGCGGTTGTTGATTGACAGCAGTGTTTCAACACAGACCCGCCCTGAGCGAGCCGTCATCATAGACTATAGTCCGTCATTGCTGATACACTGGAGCAGAATGGCGTCTAAGTGATTGTGTTGTTCTGTTCTTGGGTGCAATAACAAACACAGAAATCATTCTGATGTTCCTAACTTTAACCCGCTGAAGACGCAGTAGCTGAGTTTTGTTTACAATCTGAGGAATGTTTTAAGTGAAATATTTAGTGTTTAAAACAATGCAAAACAATTATGATTTCAACGAGTATTGTTTTATTACACAGAATACTCAAATATCTCAGAATGTTTGTCAAAAGAACAAAATATACATCCAACGTAAATTGCATGTAGAACATTTTCTCAAAAATACTGATTGAACTTGGACAAATAAGGCCAATTAGGCAGTATTAATGCGGCCCGATTAAGGCTAAAACACTCGGCCGAGCGCTCGGTATTAACGCTGCCCGATTAAGGCTAAAAGACTCGGCCGAGCGCTGGGTATTAACGCTGCCCGATTAAGGCTAAAACACTCGGCCGAGCGCTCGTTATTAACGCTGCCCGATTAAGGCTAAAAGACTCGGCCGAGCGCTCGGTATTAACGCGGCCCGATTAAGGCTAAAACACTCGGCCGAGCGCTCGGTATTAACGCTGCCCGATTAAGGCTAAAAGACTCGGCCGAGCGCTCGGTATTAACGCGGCCTGATTAAGGCTAAAACACTCGGCCGAGCGCTCGGTATTAACGCGGCCCGATTAAGGCTAAAAGACTCGGCCGAGCGCTCGGTATTAACGCTGCCCGATTAAGGCTAAAAGACTCGGCCGAGCGCTCGGTATTAACGCTGCCTGATTAAGGCTAAAAGACTCGGCCGAGCGCTCGGTATTAACACTGCCCGATTAAGGCTAAAAGACTCGGCCGAGCGCTCGGTATTAACGCTGCCCGATTAAGGCTAAAAGACTCGGCCGAGCGCTCGGTATTAACGCGGCCCGATTAAGGCTAAAAGACTCGGCCGAGCGCTCGGTATTAACACTGCCCGATTAAGGCTAAAAGACTCGGCCGAGCGCTCGGTATTAACGCTGCCCGATTAAGGCTAAAAGACTCGGCCGAGCGCTCGGTATTAACACTGCCCGATTAAGGCTAAAACACTCGGCCGAGCGCTCGGTATTAACACTGCCCGATTAAGGCTAAAACACTCGCCCGAGCGCTCGGTATTAACGCGGCCCGATTAAGGCTAAAACACTCGGCCGAGCGCTCGGTATTAACGCGGCCCGATTAAGGCTAAAAGACTCGGCCGAGCGCTCAGTATTAACGCTGCCCGATTAAGGCTAAAAGACTCGGCCGAGCGCTCGGTATTAACGCGGCCCGATTAAGGCTAAAAGACTCGGCCGAGCGCTCGGTATTAACGCTGCCCGATTAAGGCTAAAAGACTCGGCCGAGCGCTCGGTATTAACGCGGCCCGATTAAGGCTAAAAGACTCGGCCGAGCGCTCGGTATTAACGCTGCCCGATTAAGGCTAAAAGACTCGGCCGAGCGCTCGGTATTAACACTGCCCGATTAAGGCTAAAACACTCGGCCGAGCGCTCGGTATTAACACTGCCCGATTAAGGCTAAAACACTCGCCCGAGCGCTCGGTATTAACGCGGCCCGATTAAGGCTAAAACACTCGGCCGAGCGCTCGGTATTAACGCGGCCCGATTAAGGCTAAAAGACTCGGCCGAGCGCTCGGTATTAACGCGGCCCGATTAAGGCTAAAAGACTCGGCCGAGCGCTCGGTATTAACACTGCCCGATTAAGGCTAAAAGACTCGGCCGAGCGTTCGGTATTAACGCGGCCCGATTAAGGCTAAAAGACTCGGCCGAGCGCTCGGTATTAACGCGGCTCGATTAAGGCTAAAAGACTCGGCCGAGCGCTCGGTATTAACGCTGCCCGATTAAGGCTAAAAGACTCGGCCGAGCGCTGGGTATTAACGCTGCCCGATTAAGGCTAAAACACTCGGCCGAGCGCTCGTTATTAACGCTGCCCGATTAAGGCTAAAAGACTCGGCCGAGCGCTCGGTATTAACGCGGCCCGATTAAGGCTAAAACACTCGGCCGAGCGCTCGGTATTAACGCTGCCCGATTAAGGCTAAAAGACTCGGCCGAGCGCTCGGTATTAACGCGGCCTGATTAAGGCTAAAACACTCGGCCGAGCGCTCGGTATTAACGCGGCCCGATTAAGGCTAAAAGACTCGGCCGAGCGCTCGGTATTAACGCTGCCCGATTAAGGCTAAAAGACTCGGCCGAGCGCTCGGTATTAACGCTGCCTGATTAAGGCTAAAAGACTCGGCCGAGCGCTCGGTATTAACACTGCCCGATTAAGGCTAAAAGACTCGGCCGAGCGCTCGGTATTAACGCTGCCCGATTAAGGCTAAAAGACTCGGCCGAGCGCTCGGTATTAACGCGGCCCGATTAAGGCTAAAAGACTCGGCCGAGCGTTCGGTATTAACGCTGCCCGATTAAGGCTAAAAGACTCGGCCGAGCGCTCGGTATTAACACTGCCCGATTAAGGCTAAAACACTCGGCCGAGCGCTCGGTATTAACACTGCCCGATTAAGGCTAAAACACTCGCCCGAGCGCTCGGTATTAACGCGGCCCGATTAAGGCTAAAACACTCGGCCGAGCGCTCGGTATTAACGCGGCCCGATTAAGGCTAAAACACTCGGCCGAGCGCTCGGTATTAACGCTGCCCGATTAAGGCTAAAAGACTCGGCCGAGCGCTCGGTATTAACGCGGCCCGATTAAGGCTAAAAG